CAAAGAGCCCACAGGATGGGAGAAATCTTTGCTAGCTACTCTTCTGATAGGGTATTAACATCTAGAATATATAAAGAGCTCACCCCCCAATCAAATAATCTAATTAATAAATGTGGAAATGAATTAAACAGACACTTCTTAAAGAAAAGAGATACAAATGGCTAACAAATACATAAAAAAAAATGTTCAACATCATTTGCAATTAGGAAAGGGCAAATCAAAACTACGCTGAGGGGCTGGGGTTGTAGTTCAGTGGTAGAGTGTTCACCTCACATGTGGAGGGCACTGGGTTCCATCCTTAGCACCACATAAAAAATAAAATAAAGGCATTGTGTACATCTACAACTGAAAAAATATTTAAAAAAACTACACTGAGATTTTTATCTGAACCAGTCAGAATGGCAGTCATCAAGAATACAAATAATAAAAAATGCTGGAAAGGATGTGGACAAAAAGGAACACTTTTACAGTGTTGGTAGACTGTAAATTAGTACAATTGCAATGGAAATCAGTATGGAGGCTCCTTAAAAGACTAGGCCTGAAACCACCACATGACATGACCCAGTTACGCCACTTCTCAGTATTGACCCCAAAGAATTAAAGTCATCTTACTACTGTGATACATGCACACCCATGTTTATAGCAGCACAATTTACAATAGCCAAATATGGAACCAACCCAGGTGTCCATCAATGGATGAATAAAATAAAGAAAATGTGGAATATAAGCTGGCGTAGTGCCACAGGCTTGTAATCCTAGCAGCTTAGGAGGCTGAGGTAGGAGGATTACAAATTCAAAGCCAGTCTCAGCAACTTAGTGAGACTCTGTCTCTTAAAACAAACAAACAAACAACAACAACAAAAAAAAACTGGGGATGTGGCTCAGTGGTTAAGCAATCCTGGGTTCAATGCCTAGTACCACCCCCAATTCCTGCCCCCAAATGTGGTATATACACACAGTGGAGTTTTATTCAGCCATTTAAAAAAAATGAAATGGCATTTACAGGAAAATGGATGGAAATAGAGACCATCACATTATAGGAACCAAGTCAAACCAGAAGATTAAGGGTCCTATGTTTTCTCTCATATGCAGAAGCTAGAGAGGAAAAAGGAAAACAAAGGTGGGGGTAGATCTCCTAAAAATCAAAGAGAGATTAGTAAGAGAAAGGGACCTAGGGGTGGAAGATGGGGAGGGAGAAGGAAATGCTGGAAAGTGATATTGGCCAAATTATATTGCTATTATGTGCCTGTACGAATAAGTAACAAGTCCCATGAATATGTACAACTATAATGCACCAATAAAAATTGTGAGAAAAAAGTCCTGGCTTAACCAATTATTAGATGTATGACTGGAAGCAAATAACTTCACCTCTTCTATCTCATATGCCTCATCTATAAAATGGGGATATTAATGGTACCTGCATGAAGGGGCTGTGAAAAGGATTAAAATGATCAATATATGCACAGCACTCAGAATAGTGCCTGGCATATAGAAGTGTCATGTAAGTGTTAGTTATTACTATTACTGTAATTATCCTTTACTACTTCCCTGTTCACACATTGCACTGTGGGCTCACCTATTAATTCCTGCTTCTTGGGCATTTTTCTATACTTTCATGTTCTTCCCAGAATCTGTAACACAGCTCCACACCATGTCTGGGGTCAAAGGTATCCGATAACAAAACCTAAATGAAGTCTTTAATGACTAACTCCTCCAATATCCAAATTAATCTTTCCTGCCTCTGAGCATTAGTGAAAATTTGTGTGTGTGTGTGTGTGTGTGTGTGTGTGAGAGAGAGAGAGAGAGAGAGAGACTTCTCTCATCTCTTGGACTATAATTTCCCTAGAAGGGTGGTAAAATCTAAACAGTGTGCTTTCAGGAGTGAGATCTATCTGGATTCCAAATCTGGTCACCATTTATTCTCCCCGAGCCTCATCTCCCATTTATCAGTTCAGGATAACATCAATTTTGAAAGGTCGTTGGTAAGATTAGATGTCAAGTTGTACCCAAGATATTTAAAAGGGCACAAGCATCCTGGATAAGTAGTTTTTCTAAACAAGTTTACTAAAATGCCAAGAGAAACAAAGCACAGCAGTCAGGACACACGCAGGCTGGCTATTTACAAAACAGCAGTGACAAGAAGAAAAATCTCATTGGCACGTGCAGTCTGCACATGCTCTGGATTGTGCCTGAGGATGAGAGCAAATCTTCTTCGTATTGGCCTTACAGGGAGTGACGTTAGGGCCACCCAAAGGACCGACCAATGGGCTTTGGCGGGCAGGACCCAACGGTGACAGTTGAGGGCATGATAGCTTTTGGCTCTCACTTTCTCTTTTCCACCAAAGTTGGGGGCTGTTTCTTAACCCGCCAAAGATCCCCAATTAGACAACAACCGGACTCATTTGTGCCTTCTTTCTCCCCTCTACCTTTTAAAAAATTTTTTAGAGGAAACTGCCTTTTGCACAAGTTCAGATTTCCGAGTCGTGAGGCTGGGGAATCAGGAGCTAGCCCAGGTCCGGTATGATTCTGGGGTTTCATTTTCTCCCTTCTGGCACTTAGGTTACTCAATTTTAAAAGAGGGAAACACCTCTCCGTGTCGGGGCAGTAAAGTGCCTGGCAACCAGACCCGTCTAGCGGGCGGTCGCAGGCTGTGGCTCGCGCTGTTGGCGGCCAGGCGTGCAGAGGAGTGGAGGCGACGCCCCCGTCCTCTTGCCCGCGGAGCCCGAGGGGACGCGGGCGAGGCCCAGCGACCCGCGTGCCCACGGACGAGATGAGAAAGTCGGCCAAGCGGGGGTCTGCCGCCCGGTAGCCCGGACACAGGCTGCCGGGGGGCCCGGCCTGGGTGAGGAAAGGCCCGCGTGCCTCTTCCGACCCACCAGGGCAGCTCGGCCGACGAGGTCCCGGTCCATCCTCCACACCACGCCCCGAAGACCAGCACCGGGCCGCCCCCTCGCTGTTCCCCGCGCTGCGGCAGCTTACCATTCTATTCGCCCCGGGACCGATCCGGCCATCGCCCCCCGCACGGACCCCCGCAGAAAAGGAGGAGGAGCTGGACGCTTCACTTCCGGAAGCAACCGAGGACCGACTGCGGAGGGTACCCCTGGCCCGCGACCATAGAGGAGAGGCCGCACTCATTTCCCAGCCCCCTCAACCCCGCGACCTCCCCGCTGCCTAGAGCGGCCACTCCCGGGTGAGGACGTGGACGCATGCGTACTCCTGCCAACCCCGCCCCTTCCTCTTCACTGACCGACCTCGGGCCAGGGCAGAGTTACAACCCGAGTGGGTGGGAGGGTGTGTCCCTGTGACTAACTTCTCCTTTAGGGCTGCTGTTTCTGTGTAGTGAGGGAACAGCCTTGCTCAGAAATTAGAGTAGTATTAGAAGACCGCTATATGCTTTTCCCAATAATTTTTGCCTTCACATTTTATGCAGAAAAACCACAGGACGTATTTGACTCATTATGTATGTATGTATGTATTTATTTTTTTGGTACTGGGGATCCAACGGAGGGGCGCTTTACCACTGAGCCCTTTTCATTTGAGACGGATTCTCACTAAGTTGCTAAGACTGGCCTGGAACTTTCCATCCTCCCGTTCTCAGCCTCCTGAGCTGCCTGAACTATAGGCGCGCACCACCACGTCTGGCAATTTTGAGAATATTTGGAATTAAAATGGCCTGGGTTGGGGATGTGTCTCAGTGAGAACTCATGCTGATTATCTGTTTTAAAACACGTAGAGGTGCTGAAGTTGTTGTTTTGGTGTGAGCGCCCCCCCCCCCCCATGAAATTGGTAAAGAGTTAAAGGATCAGTAATGTTATGTGCTAGTGCAAGGAAGGTGTGAACTGAGTTTCTGGAGGATAATCTGGGAATAGGTACGAAGTAAACAATTTATACAGTACTTCACTATTAACAGCCTTTATCACTAATTAATTATCACTAACTGTATTGAGGAATACAGTGTCCCCGGGAAATTGAGGTTTTAGGAATGGGTGAATGCTTTCTAGACCTAATAAAGATGCCTTGATAACATTTGAAAACAGGTGTAACCAACTTCATAGAAGGTTTTATGAAACCTAGGAGAATTCATTCACTCAAACCATGTTTATTGGATGCAATGACTAGGCTTTGGGGGATCAACAGCAACCTCAAACAAAGAAACAGGGTAAGCTCACTTCTCTATGGCTAGTATAACAAATAAAGGTCTTTGCTTTCTCTGAGACCTCTGTGTAAACCACACTACCCAGTCGCGGTTATTCTCTATTGCAGTACCCTGCATTTTCTTCATAGCGATTATCTTAGGTTTATCAAATGACAAGTTTTTTTTTTAAATTTAATTTAGTATTTTGTTTTAGTTGTAGTTGGACACAATACCTTTATTTATTTATTTTTTAATTTTTACGTGGTGCTGAGAATCGAACCCAGGCTAGCGCTCTACCGCTGAGCCATAACCTTAGCCCCACAGATGACAAGTTTGATTTCTGCTTTACTTTTTCCTTCGAACCCCGAGTTTAATGGGGGCAAGGACCATACTTTCCTGTTCATCATCATATTCCCCATGCCCTTCAGGATGGCATATAATAGGAACCCAATAAATATATGTATATATATTATCATTATTATTATGATTATTTTGGTACCCGAGATTGAACTCAGGGACACTCCGACCACTGAGCCACATCCCCAGCCCTATTTTGTATTTTATTTAGAGATAGAGTCTCACTGAGTTGCTCAGCACCTTCGATTACTACGGCTGGCTTTGAACTTGTGATCCTCCTGCCTTAGCCTCCCGATCCGCAGGGATTGCAGGCGTGCTCCACTGTGCCTGGCCGGTAAATATTGGTTGATCAATTAGAATTTAAGACCTGACTCTCGCAAAGCCGAGGCCTCCACAGAGGAGGCCACGCCCCCACTCTTTCCCCAGAGGATCTCCCCTGGCCACGCCCCTGCCGTGACGCAGACGCTGACGCAAGCGCAGCAGGCGCGCGCTGTTTCCGGAAGTCGCCGCCACGGTGTGTTCTGTTGCTGCTGCCGCTACCTCGGCTACCGCCGCCGTCTCTGTGGAACTCGGCGAGTAGAACGGCTGAGCCGCGGCCCGGGCGGGGCCAGGGTTCCGGCCACTCTACAGAATGGAGATAATCAGGAGCAGTGCGTGTCCGCCGTGCACTACCCGCGTGCCCACCCTCACCCTCACCCAGCCTGCTAGGCCCTGCTGCGGCCAGCCTGTTTGGCTGGGCTCGGGGCTGAGTCAGTCAACCCCTCAGGCTCTGCCCCCGTTAAGCCTGTGCGCTTCTTGGGGCCTTATCCGTGTGCGGAACATGCACTCCTGTGTCCCTTGCCTTGCTCTGCTCGGCCACCCGCTGGGGCCCTGTCTTTCTCCGCCTCCTGCACCCTTCGAGACTTTTCTCCCTCAGGCCCAACTACCCCTCGGGGAGTTGACCTCGCGTGGCCCATGCACCCCTGGGGGACTAGATGATCTCCTGTCCTAGCGCACCTCTGGGACTTGTCCCCATCCAGCTCGCAGCCTCGTACATACCAGGGCACTTCTTCCTTTTCCACTTAGGGGTCTGTGGGCAGGAAGCCAGGCCATCGGGTTCTGAGCCTTTTCTCGGTTTCTCCGCAGATTTTAAGAGTAATCTTCAGAAAGTGTACCAGGCCATAGAGGAGGCGGACTTCTTTGCCATCGATGGGGAGTTTTCAGGTATCCCTCCCTTGAAAACTTGGGGCTCAGGGTCCTTCAGCCGTTCCCACCAGCCTGGGGCTCCCTAATTTCTCATGCCTGCTTGCTAGCTGCGCCTGGCTCTTGGTAGCTTTGGGCAGGTTGCAGAAGTCTCAGTGTTGCACCTTGAACGTTTCAAAGGCATTGAACAGTTGTAGTGGTTTTGTGATGGTAGGCTGTGAGGGTTGCAGACTGAACAGAGATTATGGTGTCGGTGCTACTTAAAACACTTTGGTGCATACATAGTAGAAAGCTTGAAGATTAGGGTCAGGCTTTTTGAGTGTGGTAAATATACACAAAATAAAATTTACCATTTTAACTTTTTTAAGTGTTTTACTGTTAAGTGACATTGAGTACATTCTCATTTCTCTGCAGCTATCACCATTCACCTCTGGAATATTTTCATCTTCCCAAACTTATACTCTGTACACATCGAAATCTCCTTTTCTCATTTTCCCTGCCATTTGACAACCACCATTTACTTCTATAAATCTGACTAATTTAGACACAATCATACAATATTGTCCTTTAGTGACTGTCCAGGGCCAGGCTTTTGCAGATAAAAGGATATTCCTTTATATATTCGTAGAAGTGTTCATTGCCTATATATAAAGGTATGTTTGTGTAATACTTCACCAACCCTTTAAAAAAATTTTTTTGTAGTTGTAGATGGACAGAATGCCTTTATTTGTTTATTTTTATGTGGTGCTAAGGCTTGAACCCAGTGCCTCACGCAAACTAGGCAAGCGCTTTGCCACTGAGCTATAGCCCCATCTCTTCACCAAAACTTTTTATAGTTGCCGTGTTGTATTATTTTGGGGGTGATACTTATTTTTAAGTTGTTTATGTCAGTCCAAAGAGTTTTATCCTTTTGGTATAAATACCCATTTTTGCTGCTTAGTTTACATGTTTAAAAACCTATAGCTCTTTCTAAAGGAATCCATGAAGAGGTAACCATGATCCTTAGTGTGAATTTTTTAGTTAGAGTCAATATGCTCAAAGTTTCCACCAGAAATAACTTTATCTTGACCCTGAAAATGCCTTTGTTGTATAGATGTTACTCCAAACTCTGTTGACCAGTACTGGTCCTCTGAAATCTTCTAGTCCTGAATGCTTAAGATTTGTTGTTGATGTCTGATATGTGTTAATCCTTTACAAAGCAGCAAAACTTACTCAAACATAGAGTGGTTTTTTTTTTTATGCTTACTGTATTTTGAAATCCATTTTAGAACTGCCTATTCACAAATTGAAACTTACATCTCAATTTTTTTTTTTTTTTTATAATATTGGGTATTGAACCCAGGGCCTTCTGCATGCTCGGCAAGTGCTCCAGCACTGAGCTGCATCCCTAGTCTGAAACATTTATGTTTCTTAAGTTTATTGTTACTGAATTTGGCTTGGTGGACAAATAAATGCTTTCTTTCTTTCTATTGGTGCTAAGAATCAAACCCAGGGCCTTGTGCATGCTAAATAAGAGGTCTTATCACTGAGTTACACCAGTAGCCCCAAATTAAAGTTAATTTTGAAAAAGTAAGGTAGGAGCACTTCTAATTAATCTTGGTTCATTAGAATATGAAAGTACAGGGCTGGGGCCTTTTGTGAGGCACTGGGTTCAATCCTTAGTACTGCATAAAAATAAATAAAATAAATGCATACTGTCCACAACTACAGAAAAAAATATGAAATTACAGAGGCATTGAATTGTTGACTTTTTATTTTGGGCACTGGGAATCTAACCCAGGGTGCTAGGGTGCTTTATCCCTAAGCAATATCCCCAATTTTCTTTTATTTATTTATTTATTTTCTGTTTCATTTCATTTTTTTTATTTATTTATGGTTGTCAATAAACATTTTGTTTATCTATATGCGGTGCTGAGAATCGAACTTAGCCTCACACATGCTAAGCAAGTACTCCAACAATGAGTTACAACCCCAGCCCCTCTCTTTTATTTTTTATTTTGAGACGGGGACTTGCTAAGTTGCTGAGGGGGTCACTAACTAACTAAGTTTGAGGCTGAACTCAAACTTGTGATCCTCCTCCCTTTGCCTTTCTAGTTGCTGGGATTATAGGTATGTACCCCTGCCCCTGACTTCACTAATTTTAAAAAAAGTTTTAGTTGTAGATGGATGCAATACCTTTATTTTATTTATTTGTCTTTATGTGGTGCTGAGGATCAAACCCACTGCCTCACACATGCTAGGCAAGTGCTCTACCACTGAGCCACAACCCCAGCCCCTTCACTGATACTTTTATACTAGCATTTATTAAAATAAAAACTTATTTCTTAAAATCTAGGAATCAGCGATGGACCTTCAGTCACTGCATTAACAAATGGTTTTGATACTCCAGAAGAGAGGTATCAGAAGCTTAAAAAGGCAAGTAGATAGGCTGGAGAATCTATCTCTTTCTCGTGTGGATCCTCCATCTGTTGAATTATAAAGGAGTATAGTCATTAAATCTGCATATCAAAGTTTTCTAAATGTAGCACTTTTTCTCAGCTCCAGTCACATATTGATATTTTAAGGATGTTTAAAGCAACAGCAAAAATAATTGTTTGCTGGAAAACATTTTGGGGAAAGATTAGTGTTTGCCAATTTGATTTATAGGAACTATGATGTGGTTATTCTAATAATCGGGAAATAGGCCTAATGTTACTCTGGATGACGGATGATAAGTGCTTAATTGGGGAAAAATTAAAGTGTATATAAACTTAAAATGCTTCTCATACATAGTTTGTATAATCTGTTCTAATTGGAAGTATTTTGCCAAAGTCTAATTGTTTGATTCAGAAAGCCATGTGATTGAGAGTATTATTGCTCATGTCAAATATGTAGCCCTAATGTGACAGATGTTTTATTTCCCTTTTCCAGCATTCCATGGACTTTTTGCTGTTTCAGTTTGGCCTTTGCACTTTTAAGTATGACTACACAGACTCAAAGTAGGTTGTTTTAACAAGTAGTGGGAATTCTTTTGTGTGGCATAAGGTCACCCCCTAAGCCTTGTTTTGTTTTTTTTCCCCCCCAGGTATGTGACGAAGTCATTTAACTTCTATGTTTTCCCAAAACCCTTCAGTAGATCCTCACCAGATGTAAAATTTGTTTGTCAGGTTAGTAGCTTAAGAGTTTTTCTTTTTATGAATTGCTTATGTGGTATTGTGGAAAAGTAGAATCAGAATTCTATTTAAAATTTGATTCTGTTAACTTTGGTCTTTCACAAAATATTTCCCCTCTCTGACCCTCAGTTTTAGGTTTGTAAATTAACAGCACCATTATTTCCCCTCTTTGCTTCAGAATGAATTAAGGAATAAGATGCAAAGACAGGCAGATGAAAATCAGAATGTGAACTTTGTTATTAATAAAGCTGAATTTGAGATCATAGCTTTGTACTGTGACTCCATTTGGGATTTTTTACTGTTTTCTCCTTGAATTGAAAGTACATATGAGGCCTTACTTGCTTTTCCCTATCTCACTCTCTGTATCTTTTTATTTTTATTTTTAACTTTTTTTTAAAGAGAGAGGGAGAGGGAGAGAATTTTAATATTTATTTTTTAGTTTTCGGCAGATACAACATCTTTCTTTGTATGTGGTGCTGAGGATCGAACCCGGGCCTTACGCATGCCAGGCGAGCGCGCTACCGCTTGAGCCACATCCCCAGACCTGTCTCTCTGTATCTTTTTAGAAGTTAGAGCTTTATTTTCTGGAAGATCAATATGTGTATGGCCTATCTAAAACCAGAAGCCCAGAGGAGACTAAGCTACTTGTGCTCAGGCTGTCTTCCCAAGCTCACCAGTTTAGGAAAAAGAAGGTAGAAAAAGACTACTGTTTCTCTTGAGGAGGAGAGGACTTATTTTTTTGGTCAAGGTAAGGATGTAAGGAGGCTCCACCTTGGAGTAGTCCCTTGAGGATCAGGGTAGCTAACCTGGAAGACACTTTGTGATTAACAGTCGCCCCCTTCTGCCTTCTTGATTATCTGTTGTCATGGATAAGGGAAGTGTGTGGTTGAGAGAAATGCAATTCTTCCTTTTTATCATGCCTCTTGAATTCTCTTCCCATAGCAACATTAGTTCATTTGAGTCTTGCCATCTTCTCCTTCATTGGCATGGAGTGGTAAAGCAATTGCGAAGGTCTGGAGGGTAGGCTTCTGAGCATCTTCTTCCTGAAATAAACTAATGAAATCAAGAGTTGATTGCTGGGGGCAAAAGAGAAAAAGTTAAGGTAACTTAGATCTTGTAGCCAGTTTCCTAAAATTGTGAAGTAAACCGTATTTCCTTTTTCCTGCAGTCAGTTAACAGCTGTTTATTAATCTCCTTGGTATAGAATATTTAATTAAACAGTGTAGATGTTTACTGAGAGAAAATAGGCTCCGTTGGAAAGGTGTGTGGATATAGTTTTCTATCATTACCACAGTAGAGAATTACTTAAAATTCTGTGAGTTCCATGGCTTTGGCCAGGGGCCAATGAAATAAAAGCAGAGGGTGGTAGTGAGACACCTTAGGGATGGTGCTTTATACTAACAGAGCAACACAAGTACAGTTATTCTGGGAAATGTTTTGGACACAGAACAGTGGAGCTCCACCCTCTGCACAAGCCACGGGGCGGCAACATCTGGTGTGCTTAACAGTTCTTGTTTCCAGTTACTCCTTAAAAAGAAAGATAATATTCTTGAAGATAGTCCAGAGGTTGATGTTGAAAATGGACAAAGGAGTTAGAAGTGCTGGAATTCTCTAGTCTGCAAGAGTAAAGGAACAGTCTCAGGAAAGTTTTAGACATTGTGATAGATGCCTCTAATTGTCCTGCAGTAGCTATGCCTGTCTTGAGTCTTGCATAAACTTGTGAATTCTATCTGTAAGATAAATGTGTTTTTGGATTTCCGTTTGTCCCTGATTTAAAGTGGTTTTTCTTTTCTTTTTTCCCCCACATTTAAAAAATTGGTGCATTATAATTGTACATAATGATTTTTATTTTGTATAAAATTCTGTGATTGCAGCAGAGTTGTATGTTATCGGGAGTTAGGCTCTGAAGTTGGTGAGCAGATAAAGATTATGTCAGAATCACTCAAAGAGCTCTTCACACCCTTAAAGCATAGAGGATTTGAGGGTAAAACAACTTACTGTATTCTTTGAAAAATAAGTATCTGTACACATACAGTGACATGCTCATGAGACTGGCAGAATGTGAAAGAAGGGGACCCACAGCCACACACACCCAGGGGAGTTCAAATGTGGGGTGGAGTGGCAGACGGAATGGCATGGTATTTATGTGGCTTCTGTCTCCTCCTCCATTTTCTTCTCTTCCTTTTTTTCTGGCCGAACATACATAGTTGAATTTGTACAAGATAATACATGCATGGTTGTGAAAAATTGCAATAAAACCACTGTATATAGAGTATGTCCTTTTCTAAGTCCTTTTTTCAACATCTCTTCCATTTTACTCCTCGTTTTCTAGCTTTTATGCACATATATACGTATACCAACATCTACACACACACCCCCAATATAATAAAATACTAATATTTGCATTTTATATAACTTGCATTTCCCTTCAACAGAATGTCTTTATGTTTCATGGTATGGATATGTGTAATTTAATCATTTCCTTTATCAGAATTTAGAGAATATCTATTGTTTATAAATAATACCATGTTCAGCATATGTGTGTAGCATATTTTTTGTATATGTAGGAATTTTTCTATAGAATAGATTTCCTAAGATTTGTGAAGTCATAGGACATTTGCATTTAAAATTTTGATAGATGCCTCACATTGTCCACTAAATAGCTACACTCATCTCTTAAATTTTGAAAAAGGTACATTTAATATAAATCTAAGGTAGGGGATGGTAAGTCACAAATAGTTTTTTTAGAAAAAGTTGTAAAATATAGTGACAAAATTTACCATATTCTCTTTTTTGTCACTGTTGTGTTTTCCAACTCATGTAAGGGATGTGATTGGTAAAGTACAATTTTATTGTAAAACATTATTGCATTTAGGGTAGTTCTCCTTAAGAGACATTTGTTCTCTCAGGAAAGGATGGGGTAGGGCATCCTGATTGCTTCTCTAACCATGCACCCCTCCCACTATGAGTGGCAGCTACTTGAGGTTGAATTGGTGGAATTCAGTGGTTCACAAACCTGGCTACACACTATGATCACTTGGGAACTTTTTTGTTGTTGTTGTTACAAGGGGTGAACCCAGGAGAGTTTAACTACTAAATCACATCCCCAGCCCGTTTTTTGTTTGTTTTTTATTTTGAGACAGGGTCCTGCTGAGTTGCTTAGGGCCTTGCTATGTTGCTGAGGTTGGCATGAACTTGTGATCTTCCTGCTTCAGCTTCCTGAGTCTTTGGGATTACAGGTGTGTGCAACTATGTCTGCCACACCTGGGAACTTTAAAACCCACAGGGCTGGGGTTGTAGCTCAGTGGTTGAGTGCTTGCCTCGCATGTGTGAGGCACTGGGTTCGATCCTCAACACCACATTAAAAAATAAAAGATATTGCTTCTTTCTAACCGCCCCACCCCACAAACCCCACCCCAACAAACCAAACTCTTCTGTCCAGATACTACTATATCTACTGAATCAGAATCTCTGGAGTGAGAGGTGATGCTAGTGGCAGGGTGGAGAACTAATTGACCATTCATGAGAGGACTCCCACCCATGTGACACAATGATTGGCTCAAAGATGGACCTAGTCTGAGGCCTGAGCTAGTCAACATATTGGTGAAATGGCAGGGAGGCCACATTGGAAAACAAAAAAGAAGCAAAAACACAGAAGTGTGAAAGGCACCGTGTGTTGAAATAGTAAGATGTTTCAAGAGCCAGAGACAGAGGTATGTTACAGAAGGTGGCAGATGAGCAGACTGGAAGATAGGCTTAAGAGTTTATAATTAAGAATCCTAACTGGCACAGCATATGACTCATCTTTTAGGGGGAAATTAAAGCAAGAGTAATTTGAAACCTAAAACTGACTTAAGATTTGATTTTTTTGGAAGGTAATTTTGGTATGCTACTGTAGAGAATGGATCTAAATGGGGAGAGATGAGGGCCAGAAACTGATTAGGGCTTGAATGCATTGTGTTTAGGGGCCAAATTTTGTAGCACTGGGCAGTTACAGGAAATTTCAGAAACTTAAGGGGCTGCCATGACAATTAGACAAATGTGGTCTTGGATAAATTCTTCTTACTTTAGCTTGTTCATAGAAGCTGGTAAGATTGATTTCAGAGGTCTTAGACCATAGATAGCTGATTCTATGGCTCTGGGCCCAAGGTAAGGCAGGACCTCCTGGTGGAAGGGTATGGCAGAGGAGGAAAGCAGCTCAAAATGTGACAGCTAGAAAGTCCATTCTAACTATTTTCAAGTGTCTATTTCATTGGTATTAAGTACATCTATATGATTGTACAATTGTGTATGGGTTTTGTTTTTGTACTTTAGTTTTTGTTTTGCAACAGGGTCCTGTTAAATTGCTTAGGGTTTTGCTGAGTTGCCCAGGATGGCCTCAAACTTGAGATCCTCCTGCTTCAGATTCTCTAGTTGCTGTGATTATAGGCATGTGCCTTTGTGTCTGACTCCAAAATGTGTTGTTTTGATTGGAAAATAAATAGCTTAGAAAAAGAAATAGGTGAAACTTCAACTCTGGATTTAAGGAACTAAAGGAAAACAGGACAGTGTGGAGTCTAGTACTGTCAGGACGGAAATGCCTTTCCATAGTCATCATTTGGTACCTCTTTCATAGATGGCATTTTTAGGTGGACAGAATTATGAGAATACTCAGGCATGGCAAACAGAAAGGAGGTTAGTGGGCCAAGGCAAAGACTTCATGTCTTGGTTCATTCAGAGTAAGAAATAAGTGGGGGTGGAGAGAATGTCGCTGTTGTATCCTCAGTGGATGGAAAATGATTGCATGTGAGCCCACGTGTTATGTGTGTGTTCCTCTGTGATAAGATTGTCCTTTTAGATCCTGCCATGTTTTTAAAAGGATTTGTGTTGATGTATGAAATATACATTTGGTATTTATGTTTTAACATAAGATTTTCTAAAAAATAAATGAAAAATTGGAAGAAAAAAATGGATTACTAGGAAATAATTAGAATGTAGATTCTGTGCCAAGAGAGACTGTTGTGTTTCCTAATGGCTGAGAAAAGAAGGAAGCACATACTTCATTTCGGTGGTCCATAGGAGCAAAACAGTTCAGGACTTGGAGAATTAAAGCTTTTCCCAGCAAATCTACCCTTGAATCATAAAGAAATGATTAATGTTGAAAACCTTGCCACTTCTCTAAAGTGAGTACTGTGATGAGCTCAGTGGGCTGTTTGGTACAATGCCCTTCAATCCATCTAGACAGAGGGTGTAATAGCCAAGTCTGGTTCAGTAAAGGTAATTCTACGGGGGACTAGATTAAAATGATTCAGGTTTACAGCCTGCCAATGCTCTGACTTCACATGAGAATAAAAATTGAGTCACTGCAATGTTGTTTTCTTCTATTCAGTCAATTTGAGTAAGAACTTGATGATTTTGCTGCATTTGTGTATCATCTGTAGTATTATTAATTTTTTAATTTAAATTTACTCTCATATTTCCACTCGATCTTAGATTTTTTTTTTTAAGAAAGCCATTTCTTTTTTAAAAAATATTTATTTCTTTAGTTTTAGGTAGACACAGTATCTTTATTTCACATTTATGTGGTGCTGAGAATCGAACCCAGTGCCTCACGCATGCCAGGCGAGCGCGCTACCACTTGAGCCACATCCCCAGCCCTCGATCTTAGATTTAAAATGTGTTTTCTTAGTTTGGTGTGGTGGTGTACATCTATAATCCCAGTGGCTTGGGAGGCTGAGACAGGAGGATGGAGAGTTCAAAGCCAGCCTCAGCAAAAAAGTGAGGTGCTAAGCAACTCAGTGAGACCCTGTCTCTGAATAAAATAGAAAATAGGGCTGGGGATGTGGCTTGGTGGTTGAGTGCCCCGAGTTCAATACCTGGTACCAAAAAAAAAAAAAAAAAAAAAGTGTTCACTTGGTAAGGCTGTTTGCCAGGAACTTCTCTGTCTTTGATCTTGAACTTTAAGACATCCAGTTAAGATTTGACGTTTTCAATATCTGATTTGGAGTGGGTGTTGGTGTTTTGTAACCTGCACATATGAGCTTCCTTAGACTTCTATCTAGGGTAAGGTTGTATAAATGCATTTTATTTCTATTTATAGTCTTCTAGTCAGTGCAGCAGTCAAGAGGTCAGGAGCTTTCTGCCCACTGGGAGAATATCTGTTCATTCAGTGTATTTAAAAAAAAAAATCTATAAATAAAAGGGTGTTTATTTTATAAGTTATCAAGAAGAACCCAAATATTTGAAGTAAATGAAAATGGATCACTTGGCTGCTGTGGATGAGAAATCCACTGTCATTTGCCACTTCCTTGCCTGCCTGTCTGCTGAGCTGTTGCTCTGCTTTCGTTGCATACGTACTCCTAACATCACCAAATGTGTGTTTTTATGTTTCAGAGCTCCAGCATTGACTTTCTGGCAAGCCAAGGATTTGATTTTAATAAAGTCTTTCGGAATGGTAAGATTGTGACTTATCTTTAGAGTTTATAAATGTCCATGGAAAGTAAATCTGGATTTGCTTGGGAATTACCATTTTGTACTTTCTGTGTGCAACAAAAATTTCAAGAGTCCAGTTCACCATATATAATGTTAGAAATTTTTTCAATTTTCTTGTTATGATTTTATTTTTAAACCTAGTTAACCGTGAACTGAGCAGGAGAATAGATGCTACTTTGTGGAGTTCTAGTGAGACCTCTCAAGCTTTGATTTTATTGAGAGTCATTTATTCCACCACTATGTGACTTAATGGCCTAACTGACCACCTGTGGGGAATGTGTCCTTATTTTCTTGTTGTGTGACAAGTGGTATAGTACTTGAAAAAGCAGCTGTATTGCTGGCTATAGTGGTGCCCATCTATAATTTCAGTGACTTGGGAGGCTGAGGCAGGAGGATGGCAAGTTTGAGGCCAGTCTTAGCCATTTAATGAGACTCTGTCTCAAAATAAAAATCAAAAAGGTAGAATTTGGTAGAATTTGACCCTGTTGATTGCTCTCTCTTGCCCCCAGCACTGTCCTCCCGGCCTCAGACCCTTCGTTCTTCTGGCTTGGTTCCTGCTCACTCTTGGCTCCTCACTCTTGGTATTAGCTTTTTCTTGCTCACCGACTTCTGAATATACTTTCCCTAGTTGTTTGTAGGTTCCTTGGCCTCGTGGCTTCATTTTTAAAACTGATGTATTTTACGTTCATAGGAGTGTGTGGCGGTGGGGATCAGATCCAGAGCCTGGCACATGCTAGGCTAGAGCTCTCCCACTGAGTCACACCCCAACTTTCTAGTCTTTTTTTAAATTTTTTTATTTTTTCCAGTACTGGGAGTTGAACCCAGGGCTCTCTACCAATGAGTTACATCCCCAGCCCTTTTTATTTTATTTTGTTTCAAGACAGGGTCTTGCTAAATTGCCCAGGCTGGCCTTGAACTTGGGATCCTTTCTCCTCAGCCTCCTGAGTCACTGGGATTAAGGCACGCGCTACAGTACCTGGTGGGTTCTCTCTACTCTTAAAATCCAGAACCACCTCTCAGTTTGGTTTTGTCTTGTCGTACCTTTAGAATTTTTAATATTGGTGGTTACTTATTTTGTAGAATGTCCATCTCTTTGGACTTGTCTGAGTTTTCTTATATGTATCCAAATGCATTAATTCATTTTTGGTAGGAGTACATCGTATGTGTCCTCAGTGCCCTGTTATCAGGTGGCTCCTGATGACAATTGGTCTCAGTGTTGGTGAGGTTAGCTTGGATCACCTTTCTTGCCAGTTAGTTTTACCATCCGTCAGTGATTCTTGCTTCAGGCAATTATTATTTTTGGTAAATGGTGTTTTTCTAATTCCATCATTCTTTCTACAAAGTTTGTTAGTATCCCATATCTTTTTTTCTTCCTCCCCTACTTGGAGTTTAACCCAGGCCCTAGCACACGCTAGGCAAGTGCTCTATCAGTGAGCTGCACACCCCCCCACCCAGCCCTTTTTATTTTTATTTTGAGATAGGGTCTTTCTGGCCTTGAAGTTGTGATCCTCCTGCCTTATCTCTAGGTAGCTGGGATTATAGGTGTGGGCTACTGTACCTAGCAGTACTACTTATATCCTGTTGGTAACTAAATTTATGTCACAACACCTTTTTCTTGAGCTTTTATATCTGCAACTCTTAATTTATATACCTTCAGATAATTTTTTAAAAATTTTATTTATTTATTGGTATGTGATGCTGAGAATCGAACCCAGTGCCTCACACATGCTAGGCAAGTGCTCTACCACTGAGCCACAATCCCAGCCCACCTCAGATGATTTTTTTATGCCCAGAAGGTAGCTTTTGATTTCTACCTCTTGGACTCCAAAACTCCAGTTTCCCCTGCTTCTTTCCAACAGCTTCACCAGATAGCTAGGTGTCAGTCTCAGTTTTGCCTTTCACTTTACCCTTCACCTGTGAGCGTATCAGCAAGTTCTTTTTTTACCATCTCAAAAAAGCACTGTCTCCATCTACTATGCTGTCTCCATGGTCTAAGCCAGGTCACAGATGACCTGTAAATAACATCTTAGTGGAACATAGTATGCTCTCAGATGTGCATGTTGTGTTGGCTGCTTCTGTGCTGCAATGGTAGGATTGAGTATGCGACAGAGATGCTCCCTAAGGCTTACAAGCCTGAAATATGTAATGTGTGTCCCTTTAAGATGAAGTTTGCTGATCTCAGCTCTGAGCTGTCATTTCTTGCCTGGACAGTTGCTCCTAACCAGTTTCCCTGATTCCACACTCATAGTAATTCACATGATCTTTTAAACATGAAGCAGACAATGTCCTTATTTTGCTTACATTTTCTGTTGATGTCTCTTTCTTCTTAGAATAAAAATTTCTTACCAAGCTCTATAAGGAACTATATAATCTTGCTCTATCCCATCTCCATCCCCTTTTGCTCACCATGTCCTAGCCATACTCACTTTCTTTGAGTTTCTAGAAAAATTCAAACCATTTCCATCCTCTGGACATTTAGGCTCATTTCCTCTGCCTGAAATACTCTTCCCCTGGCTCTTTGCATATCTGACTCATTCTCATCCTTTGGGTTTTCCCTCTCAGTGGCCTTTTTTGATAATCTGGTCAGAAATAGTTCCCTTACTACAGAGCAGGATGTATCTGCTTGTTAGTTCCTCAGCGCCTGTTACAATGCTTGGCATAGCATGAGTGCCAGATAAATATTTGTTAAGAATGAAGGGGCTGGGGATATAGCTCTGTTGGTAGGGTGCCCTGGGTTCAATCCCCAGCACCACAAAATAAACAAACAAACAAATAAATAAATAAAATAAAAAAATAAAAAGAATGAATAAATGAATGAAAGAATGAACAAACATTTCAAAATCACTTGTGTTTACTGTTAGATGTAGTTAAATATGTCTTTCCTGAGTAGTATAAGCTCTTTTAGTTTGTTAAAAAATTTTATGTGAAACAATTACTTCTGCTAATGCATTCTTTTAAAAATTATGTTTAGGAATTCCATATTTAAATCAGGAAGAAGAAAGACAGTTGAGAGAGCAGTATGATGAAAAACGCTCTCAGGCCAATGGTGCCGGATCTCTGGCATATGTATCTCCTAATGCCTCAAAATGTCCAGTGACGATCCCTGAGGATCAGAAGAAGTTTATTGACCAAGTGGTGTAAGTTCCCAAACTGAAACCATGTGTGCATCAAGGCCATCTGTGTCACACTTTTGTTGTACACAGAGTACACATGTGGGTGTATGTAGTGTTGTGAGTGGCACGATCTAATTGTGGCATATCTGAATTTGTGCAACAGGAGAAAATTGCAAATAGAGTCCTGTGTATCATACTTACACTGGCTCCATGTTAGTTGGCAAGACACCTCAGCAAGTGAGCAGACCTATATTGATCAAGGCCTGACAGGCCATGTCCAGTTTTCCTGAAGGCAAAGGAGTGGATCAGGCCCATCCAGGCTGCAGCACATTTGTGGTTTTCCTGTGGCAGTGAGGTTTCTGATGAACAGTTGTGCCACTGGAGAAGAATCTGGTCTTGCTTAGTTTAGATAACGGTATAACTGCTTTACTAGAAAAGTCAAAAATTAAATCACTGGTATTGATGAATTGTTGAGAAGTTGTCACTAATTCATCAGTGACAATAAATCTGCCCAAAGCATATGCCAAAATAAAACATTTTCTTTACTTTTTGAACTAAAAAGTCACTACATAATTTGATAAAATTACTCTGTTCTGCATGTACAAATGTAAGAACTATATGCATAAGAAATATATGTTCTTATGTTTAGACTGCTTTTGAGTATGATTATTCTTTTGGTTGATAAGTTCATTTCTTCAAGGTTCTGATGTTCTTGGTCTTATTCTAACTCCTCAGAGAGAAAATAGAAGATTTATTACAAAGTGAAGAAAACAAGAACTTGGATTTAGAGCCATGTACTGGGTTAGTTGTCCTTCATAGTTTCACATGTTCTTTTTATGGAAAAGTAGATGATTTCTGACATTTGGTGCATTTGGTCTTCTTAAAACTTCTTTATAAATACCCTTCTTATTATAGGTATGTTTCCAAGGTTTAAGTACAAGTTTTAGCATTTACATAGTGGGACAGTTGTCTGTGGAGACACTGAATGAGGACTTTGTCCTGACACTGGAGGGGAGAAAACTGTTGTGCAGGTTGACTTTAACTATGCTCACAAGTGGCGTGATGGCTTTGGCCTGGAGGAGTGCTTAGCACTTGAAGGCTGCAGCAGAGAATTCCTCTCAGGCTGCTTCTCTCCTTCTAACTTCTCTCTGCGGTGGGAAACTTGTACATTTCAAAGACAGTAGCTTAAACATCTTCTTTCCCTTTTACTTTAAGACAAGCTTTACCAAAGTGTTTTAATGTAGCTGGTTACTTTAAATTCTCCTTATGGAGCTGCAGGAAGTAATATTTTGATTAGATAAGAACTTTACCTCTTTGCTAAAAGTAGTATAATAATATTAAATAAAATGTCAATTAAGACAAGTGAGGAGGAATCTTCCCACCTCAAAGCTCTTGCCTTTGTTTGTTTGCATATCACCTGTCTGTTCTGATGAAGACTCATTTCAGAATTAAATCTTTCCCAATCAACGCCTGCTCAGTTAGGGTTTACTTTTGGTGGACCTCAGCCAATACTGTTTTTTTTTTTTTTATTTTTATAGGTTTCAGAGAAAACTAATTTATCAGACTTTGAGCTGGAAGTAAGTGTTTGTATTGTATATGAGAGCTTTGTGAAGGACCCTGAATTTAAAAACTAAATATAATCCTGTTACTCTTATTTCATTTTTTAATTCTGCAGTTTCTGATGTTTTAACCATGCAGAATTCCCCATTCTTTCTGAAGTGAATACCCACTTAGTTAATTTTCTGTGTTATTACTCTGGATGCTTTAAGACCTTTTTCTTTTTGGTTTTATCCATTAAGCTTTGGAGATATATCTACAATATATTTTTGTTGTTTTTTGTTTTGAAGGTATGTGATAAAGATTTGATTCTTAAACCTAGGAAATACTCAAATGAGTCCTTTTTCTAAAGCAGGGCTTTCTGACTTGGGGTTACATTTTGAGTGGGCTTTAGAGGTCTATAAATCTGAAATCACAGCCAACATTTTGTGCATGTGTTTTTCTGAGGATGTTTCCCTTGGTTTCTCTAACTCAAAAACTGAGCAATGATACTAAAAACTGAGCAATGGTACTAGACAGATGAGCATTTGCATTTGATTTTGGAGTCCTTGATCTTCTGTTAGACTCTGCCACTGAGATTATACTGGGAATATACTTTGAACAAAATGGGAGCGATTTCCTGTCGAGTTATTGTTGCATCTTACTCATTGTGTGTTCCAGATCCCTCTCCTTGGCTGATGCAAACTGCCATGCCAAACTACGGCAGATCGGGCCATCTCAAACCTTCCCTTTGTTGCTGTGCAATCTAAAGAGACCTTCACATTTTCAGTTAGGAAATAGGCATGATTATATTTGGAGGCAAGATTTGACTGTGTGGTAGTTGACTGTATTAAGATGCAAGAAATTTAGAAAATACATGTTCCCCCAAATTAATTTGAAATTGATACCTTCCTTTGCCAATGTTTTAAGAGCAGGGACAGGGAAATATTATGCAGCTGAGATGTTATGGATAGATTTATTATAAAGTCTTCATTGTAAGGATAATTATTCCATCTTAACCAAACTTGTTTTATTTACTTTAAGCTATGTAGTGGCTTTTAAAATACTTTGGGTTTCAGCTGTCATTGATTCATCTACTGATATCCTGTTTTCCTTTTTTTTTGTTCTTTTAGGTATCCCAAAGGCATTCATGTTGAGACTTTAGAAACTGAAAAGGTAACCCCAGGATTATTCAGGGCTAACATTAGACATACTTGGTGATTCTTGGGTGTGTTGAAAGTCAGGAGTTATGCTTGGGCTCTTCCCACTTCTGAGCGGGCAACCTGGGCGAGTTGTTGTGCCTTTCTGAGCCTCATTTTCCTCATTGGTATATTCGGCTGAGCATGACAGTGAGGATACCTATACCTGTCTCGGGATGTTTGTGGTGATCCAGTGGATAAATGGATGTGAACATGCCTTGTAAACTTGATGGTATATAAATGTTATTTCATGTTCTTACTGTGGCAGAAAGCTGTGGTACATGTGAACAGAACAACTTTGTGTTATGTTGACAGGTAAAATTAAATTTTAGAACCTGAGTCATAAGCATAGCACTGATAGAACTGTGATGGGTGCTAGTGATAGTTTTTTTGAAAAATTTTAGGACTTTTGAATTTGCTTGTTGTTTTAAGTCAAATATCAAATTATGGATTACATACGTTAAAGACAGTCTTTGTTAGAAGATAAACCTCAAACTCTGACATGGAAGATTTGGTGGTATGATTAATGGACACAAAATGCAGTATATGAGAAGGAAGGAACTAGTTTTCTGGCTTATAACCAGAAAATCCAGGTTGTTTCCTCATGTTCATAAAATATAATGAATAACTTTCACGTTAAAACTAATTGTTTAGGAATTCATATTCAAAGGCCATGTAACTTTTTAGTGTTCATTATGGAAAATGTTTTCTTCTTGTAGTCTGTTGATATTTTAAACTGATGTCTGTCTTTTTTAACTAATAAACCATGGTAAAATGTCATGGAAAGATAGGAAATTTTTGTTTTTTAGTGCATTATTTCAATTTTTGGTGGCATGTTGAGGCACTTTTTGTTCTTTTTGGCCCATGAAAGTTGGCGCAGTGATAAAAATGGTAACTTCTAATGGTAGCAGAGTTCGGACTTTTTGGGTCAAGTTACATCCAGAAAATTATATATCTGCTTTGTCTTTTAGAAGGAGCGATATATAGTTATCAGCAAAGTAGATGAAGAAGAGCGGAAAAAAAGAGAACAGCAAAAACACGCTAAAGAACAGGTAATAGGACTGTATTTCCTTTGGGTGGGAAGTAGCAACGTACATACCAACTAGTCCCTTTTGTGTATAGCAAAATTTAATGAACAGTTTTCTACCACAGAAGAATTGTGAGTTTGTGATTGGATGTGGCTGGTGAAAGAGGAAGGTAGAAGGAAGATGCTCTAGCTCTAAATTTGAGTGACCAGATGGGTTGTAGTCCATTCACTTAGATGGTGTGGGCTGGAGTGGTGTTGGTCAGGGGTGCAGGTAGAGGAGACCAGAAGTGATTTTGGGTGTGGCAGATGTCAGGTATGTGCACGTTTAGAACATGTTAAGACACGAGTAAAAACAGAGTGATCCACTTTCACAATTACATTATACCTGCAAGAGAAATAAAGGTTAGCCAAATGTGCCTCCTGTCTGTGGTCCTTGACCTCCACAGCAAAAAGAACAGCACCAAAACCAAAGGGGTCAGATGACTATGGTATGGGCTGTGGAACTCTCCTTTGCTGAGAAACTGGTTCTAGACTGTAGTGCAGTGCTTTTGTTTTCTGTTGCTCTGTTCTGAGGGGCTGGGCAGAAAGGCCCATACCTGCTGTGTGGCAAGGAACAAGTCCCAGCTCCTTGGGAGGCTGAGGCGGAAGTATTGTGAATTCCAGGCCAGCCTGGGCAACATAGTGAGGCCCCATTCGAACAAATCAGCAATCAAAAAAGACCTCGCCAGACATGGTGGTGCACGCCTGTAATCCCAGGGTCTTGAGAGGCTGAGGCAGGAGGATCATAAGTTCACAGCCAGCCTCAGCAACTTAGCCAGGCCCTAAGCAACTTAGCAATAAAATAAAAAATAAAGGTCTGGGGTTATGGCTTGGTGGAAGAGTGCTTGCCTTGAATGTGTGAGGCCCTGGATTTGATCCTCAGCACCACATAAAAATAAAATAAATAAAATAAAGGTATACATCCATTTATAACTAGAAATATTTAAAAGAAAATTTAAGAGGGCTAAGAATGTGGCTTGGGCACTGCACCACTGAGCTCTGTCCCCAGCCCCTGTTTTTGATATATTTTTAAAATTATTTATTCATCATCATTATTATTATTTGATACTAGAGATTGAAACTGGGGCCTTGCACATGCTAGACAAGTTCTATGTCTCCAACCCCCAATTATTTTATTTTTAATTTTGTTAAAAATACAACACAGAATTTCCCATCTTAACTGTTTTCAAATGTACAGTTCAGTGGCAGTAAGTATATCCACATTATTGTGCAGCCATCACCATCAGCCATCTCCAGATCTATTTTCGTGATGCAAAACTGAAATTCTGTACCTATTAAACAAAATTCTCCATGCCCTTCCTCCGCCTGCCCTGGCAACCATCATCTACTTTCTGTTTCTGTGAATTTGACCATTCTAAGTACCTCACGTAATTGCAGTCTTATAGTATCTGTCCTTTTGTGACAGGCTTACTCTCTTGGCATAATGGCCTCAAGGAAGGCTTCATCCATGTTACAGCATGGTCTGAATTTCCTTCCTTTTTAAGACTGAGATTCTATTTTATAGATATACCACATTTTCTGTATCTATTCATTTGGATACTTGGGTTGCTTGCTTTTGGCTCTTGTATACGATGCTGCTTTGAACATGAGTATGCAAATATTTGTATGCTTTTTTTTTTTTTAAAGAAATTCAACACTTTTTTTCCATAGCAATGGTGCTATTTTATGTTCCCACCAACAGTGCACAAGGGTTCCATTTTCTCTACATCCTTGAAAATATAATTTGGCACTTGTTAGCCTTGGGACTCATTTTAAGTTGATGAGCAATTTCAGTGAGATTGAAGCCAGAGAGCAGAGGGCTGGGAGCACCTAGAAGTTAGCTGGAACTGAGTGGAGAGGTTAATTAAGCAAGTTAGCTGTGATGAGACAAAAAGGGCAGTTAAGGGCTGAGGTCAAGGTAGGAGAGACACGGAGCCTCTGTAAACACTGTTGGGAAGAAAATTGGAGAGGAGAAAGTGAGGGTGGGGACAGGTCCAAAGTTGTGCTCTAAAAGTTTGTAAAACTGCTGTTTGTCAAGAAAAAAATCAGGAATTCTGGATCAGTTTGCTGGATGGGTTTCCTCAGAAAGTGATGTATTATTGAGTTTAACCAGCAGGTGGCCACTTTAAAAAAGATTTTTTTTTTCTTCAAGACACTTGATTGCCTTGGAAATTTCAACAAATTATGTGAAGTGATGAGAAAATTCTAGGCACTTTTATTTAAGTAACTAGTGAATAATTTGGCACTTGCTTTTTCTGACTTCTAAAACAGAAGAAAGATATATACATAAATCATTTTAGATATTTTAGATATAGTTATTTGAAATGATGATGCTATATGAAGTTTTTTTTTCCCCTTTTTTGGCTAGGGTTTTTAGGTCATTCAAATAAGAAATATAGTGCACATCAATAATTTTGTTTGTTTTTTAATTAGGAGGAACTGAATGACGCTGTGGGATTTTCAAGAGTCATTCATGCCATTGCTAATTCGGTAAGCAAACCAGGCTTCTTTTCTTTCTGGCTAGACTGCTGAATATAATATTAGGTGGCCTGCCAAATTACCATTGCAAAGTAGTCAGTTTGGTCATTTAGAATGTTTACCTGGTGTGGAGGAAGGAGTTAGAATGACAAGGATAGACTGTTACGTGATGTGCCTGGTGAGATCATAACTGCTGATTCACATACAAAGCATTTTTCAGAAAGTCTTTCTTGTAAGGATGCATGGGATTGTACAATGATGATGTTTTATGGCTATACGAAACTAAGGTTTTTATTCTCAAAATCATAAGAAGTAGAATAAGAAAGCAAGGAATAAAGGAAGAAACATTCAGATATTTGATTGATTAATTCCCTAAGTGGAAGACTCTAGAGGATAAAAATAATGGTGTCTATGTCAGGGTCTCCTGCTTAACTGTAATTGATTCTTATATCCAGTAGCCTTAACAGTATTTGATACATTTAAAAAATGCTTTGGTTGTTGGTGTAAATTTGCTAGAGGGGTCTGTGGTAGATATTTTTCCTTACTTCCTTTTTGAAAAGAAACATTGCTATTTTGCAAAGATAAACAAGGTTGTTGTGCTGGTTGTTCTAGTTAATCTGCTTACTTGGATGCTAAATTGTCTGGAATCTAAGGCTTCTTTTCCTTTAGCAGTTGGCTGTTGAGAAAGAATCACCTTGTCTCTTAGATGCTGAGGTTTGTATCAGGGAAGCATGCAAAGCACAAAGGTCATTGAAACCCTCTCAGTTCTACAGCTGTCTCACTACCAGGTGCAGGCCTGTAAACACAGGGACACTGGGGGTGGGGTGGGGAAGCACACCATTGTCCTTATTTGGGGATAAACACAAGTAGAGGACCTTGTAAAAGAAGAGGGTTGGCCTACTAGGAGCTCTCTTCCTAAATAAGTGAGGTAATCTGAACAGAACAGAAAGTTGTATGAGTCTGGAGAGAAGCAGAGTGTGAATCTCTTTGTAGTAGCTGAGGTCATAGGTGTCCAGAGAAGCAGCGGTGAGACCACATTTGCTCTTGTCATACACTCAACCAGCTCCCTTCAGATTTGTGGTTGGTTTGATTGTGGCTGGGCTCTAAGATACAGAGCTTAGGACATCAGTTGATTTTGAGCTCTTGTGTAGTTCTCATGATATTTAGTTAACTTTTCCAAAATTGAGTCATTTGTTCACCTTGTACATGTTCAAATACCTTAGGTTGCTCTATCTGTGTTTGCTCTTCTCTGATATCTTTCTTGTATGGAATAATTCATAACACATTGCTAATAGTTGGTAGCATCAAAGTTTGCAAAGCGAAGAAGCCCTATTTACTGGTGATTTAATGTTTTAAAGTTTATAAGCAACACACTTTAAAAATATTAACATAATTAAGTTCTATAAACCCAGTAGACATCAAACATATATTTATATCACCAAATTATTTTCTAGTCACTATTAGTAAATCTCTTTTTTCTACAGTTTTCAAAAAGTTTTAATTTTGCAAGATAAGTTCCAAAAATAGTGCAGAAATTCTGTACCCCTTTGCACAGTTTTCCCCAGTGCTAACATCTGCCATTGCTACTGTGCAGTTATCTGAACTAGGATAGTAACATCAGCACAATAACATGAGCTAAACTAAAGCCTTTATTAGAATGTCATCAGTTTGTTTATTAAGTCCATTTTCTCTTCAGAATTCTGTCCAGAATCCTGCATTGTGTTTACTTGTTATTTCTCCTTGGTTTTCTGCAGATTTCAGTAGTCTTTCTCTGCCTTTCATAACCTTGGTGCTTTTGATGAGTATTGGCCATTTTGTCCAGGGTTCCTCGTTTGTGATTTGTTTTCTTTGGTCTGAGGGTATTCAGTGTTGATAAGAACACCTCAGAAACAGTATTCATGATGTTGACCTTGGTCACCAGGTTAAGGTAGTGTCTGCTGGACTTTGTTCTGTGAAGTTACTGTTTTTCCTCTGAGGTTAACATGTTGGGGGAGATATCTTGGGACTATGAAAATCCTCAAACCTTTGCCCACTAATGTTAGCGTTTGTCAGTGGGTCTTATCTGCAACATTTATTGCTGTGGAGATCTAAGGCAAGTTTATATTTCCCTCTTTCTTTCTACATTTGTTTTTAAAATTATTCTATAAGGAAAAGCTGTTCATTCCATGTTATTTAATCATTTTTATGTATGTGAGTAGGGACTCGGATATTTATTTTATTCAACTAGAATATAGCCTAATTTTCTGTTGTTTACTTTGTTGCTCACAGTGTACTGCCTTTGGCCATGGTGATCTTTCAGCTTGACTCCTATGTACTTCCTTTTGAGCACTTCCTTACTTTTGGATGTCCCAGGAGGTTCCAGCCTCATCTTGTTTTCTTCCCCTGGCCTAGCTCAGGGATCCATGACTTCTCCCATGAGCCGTGGTTCCTTTGACTGAGAGTGGTGTTTTGGAAGCACAATCTGGTCCTGTGTTACAGCTGTGTTAGTGGTTCTAGGCCCTGCCTACAGACAGAGCTAAGAACAGTATGTCTGCATATCCATGCATATATACACTTCTGGTTCTTTGTGTATCTGTAGGTGTATGTGTGTATGGTTGGCTTTCCATATCCTTGAGTTCTACACCCTCAGATTCAACCGACTACAGATTAAAAATATTCAAGAAACAAATTGTGTCTTTATTGAACGTGAACAGATTTTTTTTTTTTTTGCCATTATTCCCTAAACAGTATAATACAACAACTATTTACATGGCATTTGCATTGCATGAGGTATTATAGGTAATCTAGAGATGATTTAAAGTATGGGAGGATGTGCATAGGTTATATGCAAGTAATATGCCATTTTATGTAAGGGACCTAAGCATTTTGGTGTCCATGGGAGATCCTGGAACCTATCTGCAATGGTCACTTTGTATTTTGTGTGTGCACAGTTACGTTTTGGTCAGTGATGGACTTCATATACTAGGGTGGTCCTCTGCTGGGTTTCTGTTCTCACGACTAAAAGGCTCAGGGGTCACTCTAGTTAAACTGGGCTAACTGGGCTGCACGAAATAACCACACAAGAGACACAAATACCTTTTTCTTTGGGGTTGCTGTGACGGCTCCTCTGACTTTAAGGGTCCGCAGAAAGAGAGAGAGAGAGAGCATGCGCTGACCCCTTTTATTGAGGAGAAGCTATTCAAATGAGGCAAGGGGTCAGGTTTCAGGGGGCTGAGTCTATCTTCATGATGTCCACTGTCAGCAGGTTGACTGACACCTGGGTAGGCCACGCCCAAGGGCACAGTAAGAGGAGGGGACACACACAAAGCATTTCCATGGAAGATTGTATCCTAAACAGGGCAAGGGGTTATATTACAAAGGAACAGGTGAGCATAGCTTCACCCATGGGGCTGTAGCAAGACACACCCATTTCTGTGACTGAGCGCCTCAGCACCCAGCTGGGGAGTGTAACTCAGTCACCCATAAGGTTGGCCTCCCACAGTCCTCTAAGATTATAATGGAGCTAAAAAATTTATGTCACTTAGTGTTTTCACTGTACCTTTTCTATATTTAGGCACACAAATACCACTGTCTTAAATTTGCCTACAGTATGTAGCACAGTAACATGCCTTATTGGCTTATAGCCTGGAATAGGAGCAGTCGGCTAGACCGTATAGTCTAAGTGTATAGTAGGCCATGCGATCCAGGTTTGTGTAAGTATATTCTGTCATTTCACCCAATAGTGAGATTGCCTGATGAATTTTTCAGGACATGTCCCTGTTACATTATGCATGAGGTGATTGTGTGTGTACAGAGGTGCTTACACATACATACACATCCACAAGTGTGGATCTCCCTACCCATTCCTTTATACTGATACCTCAGATTCCAGTCCAATACCACAGGGCTTGTTTTTGGCCTACTCTCTTTTCTCTTGCAACTTCTTTCTCTGACAGTGAGAAATCCAGTTCTTAACTTGCATTACATATATTTGCTTCAACTTGGGGCACACATAAAGTAGTACCAGACTGCTAACTCATGCCTGTGAGAAGTTCAATATTTATGTGCAGTTCTTCCTGTCTTTGGCCTCATGGTATCTTCTGATCAAGATATTGTTTTCCATTTCTCAACCTCCTCATTTATCAGTATTTATGTTGCATTTGAGAGTTTCCTACATAACCACTTCTATCCTGGAATCAATCCTTTGTATTTTAGCATTGTATAGGGACTCTGAATGTGCCCAAATATTGAGCCAAAAGCTTAGCTTGTTAGATTTGGGAGATTTTATGTAGGATATTTACTTTGAAAAAAATATGTTTAGCCCTATGAATCCAGCAGTGTTGTATGGAAGGCCCATTGGGACTTATTATGGAGCTCCACTGTAGTGACCGATGCTTTTGTTAAAAACGGTGTCACCAGCTGCGTGCAGTGGTGCACACCTGTAATCCCAGCTGCTCAGGAGGCTGAGACAGGAGGATTGCAAGTTCAAAGCCAGCCTCAGCAAAAGTGAGATGTTCAGTAACTCAGTGAGACCCTGTCTCTAAATAAAATACAAAATTGGGCTGGGGATGTTGTTCAGTGGTCAAGCGCTCCTGAGTTCATTCCCTGGTGCCAACCCCGACAAAAAAGAATATGGTATCACCAGGCCAACTAAATCTAAGTTGACATTCCATTTTGTGGTTTACTTTTTACACAAATGGAGTAATTTAATTTACCTACAGTTATTTCAGTTGATTGAAAAAACAGTGAAATGTTATTGGAATGGAATTCACAGAACATGTTCTGAATTTTGAAGCAGTTAATCTAGGAAATGAAAATTTATTGTGTTAATTATAATAAGAATCTAGTTATTTTAACCTTTTAACATTGTTATGAACTTATCTTTTAAAATAATTGGGTTCTTTTAAGAAATATATATATATATTTTTTCTTTTTTAAACATAATACCTATTTATATATTAAATCATTCATTCGATATTTTTTTAATATTTATTTATTTTTTTAGTTGTAGGTGGCGGACACATATCTTTATTTCATTTTTATGTGGTGCTGAGGATTGAACCCAGTGCCTCACAAGTGCTAGGCGAGCACTCTATCACTGAGCCCCAAGCCCAGCCCCAAGAAGTATATATATTTTTTAACTATTTATTTTGTAGTTGTAGTTGGACACAATACCTTCATTTTAATGTGGTGCTGAGAATTGAACCCAGGGCCTCACACGTGCCAGGCGAGCACTCCACCACTGAGCACAACCTCAGCCCCAAGAAGAAGTATAATTTTTAAAATATTTGTATAGACAAAAGCATATACATATGTTTTTGGAGTTTTGTTCACACATTATTTGACATTCAAGGGACTCAGGGTTTTCATATTTTACCTTTAAAAAGCTCTTCAATTAAAATTTTACAATTTCCTGCTGGTGTGCCAGTTCACTTCTGTAGTCCCAGCTACTTGGGAGGCTGAGGCAGGGAGGTCACTTTAGCCCAGGAGTTCAAGGCCATCCTGGGTAACATAGAGCCTTGGAAAAAAAAGAAAAGAAAAGGAAAAAAAGAAAAGTTTTTTTTTTTTTTTTTTACTACTTCTGATTCTTAAGGGTGACAAGATTGATAAAAATCAGAGAAAAAGATCAGTGAAGTAAAAAATTATTTGAAACTTTTACTTTGCCTTGTGGATTTAATACTCCCAAATTGCAGAGAAATAAAAATGGCTTATATTGTTATGTATTTACATATACTCATAACTTTTTAATGTGGAAAAAGTAAGTTCAGTAAAAAGTCCTCATGGAATCTGAAGCATACATTTTATTCTCAAACCCTAGTTAATTTTTTTCTTAACCTTGATTTTCTTTAGGGGAAACTTGTCATTGGACACAATATGCTCTTGGATGTCATGCACACAGTTCATCAGTTCTACAGCCCTCTGCCTGCGGTAAGTGACTTGTCCGCCTGCCTTCACCAAGCACTATGCAGTGTTCTCTGCTTTTCTACATGCAGCATGTTCCCAGAGACAATCTTATGCATGCACTTGGTTGTATATTTTTGATGAGATGTACATATAAGCTATTTTAAGGGGTTTTCTGTCATCTGCCATTGTCAGAGCAGGGTTCCATATTTGTTTCATTGTCTTGGTCCTTGTGGTTTGGCTATTGTGAATTGTGTTGCTATAAACATGGGTATGTATGTGTTGCTATAGTTTTTTTAAAAATATTTTTTAGTTGTTGATGGACCATTATTTTATTTATTCATTTACATATGGTGCTGTGAACCCAGTGCCTCATGTGTGCTAGGCAAGCATTCTACCACTGAGCCACAACCCCAGCCCACTTTAATTCTTTAATAAATACTGAGGATTGGTGTAGCTAGGTCATATATGTTGGTTCTATTCCTATCTTTTGAAGGACTACCATACTGATTTCCATAGTGATTGTACTAATTTACAATCCCACCAATAGTGCTAAAGTGTTCTTTTTTCTCTACATCCTCTCCAGTGTTTATTATTATTTGTGTTCTTGATATGGCTGCAATTCTAACTGGAGTGAGATGAAATCTCCATGTAGTTTTGATTTTTATTTCCTTAATTGCTAACAGTGTTGAACACCTTATCATATATTTGTTAACCATTTGTATTTCTTCTTTTGAAAAGTGTCTATTTAGTTCACTTGTCCATTTATTAATTGGGTTGTTTATTGTTTGAATTCTTTATGTATTCTGGATATTAATCCTGTGTCAGAAGAGTAGCTAGCAAAAAATTTCTCCCATTCTGTAGATTCTCTCTTCACATTTGTAATTATTTGCTTTGCTGTATAGAAGCTTTTAAATTTGATACCATCCTATTTATTAACTCTTGAGATTATTTCCTGAGTGTCAGGGATCCTTTTGACAAAGTTGTTTGAGCCTACATGTTGGAGTTTAACTCTATGTTTTTCTCTAGGTGTTGCCTAGTTTCTGGTCTAATTACTGGGTCTTTGACTTATTTTGAGTTGACTTTTTTTTTTAAAATATTTTTTTAGTTGTTGATGGACCTTTATTTTATCTATTTATTTATATGCAGTGCTGAGAATTAAACCCAGTGCCTCACACATGTGAGGCAAGCGCTGTACCACTGAGCCACAACCCCATCCCCTTGAGCTGACTTTTGTGCAAGGTGAGAGATAAGGATTTAGTCTCATTATTCTACATAGGGATAGCCAGTTTTCCCACAACCATTTGTTAGAAAGGCTGTCTTTTAGTCAGTGTTTGCTTTTGGCATCTTTGTCGAAGATAAGATGATTACATCGGTGTAGGTTTCTGTTCTGTGTCTTCATTGGCCTGAATGTCTGTTTTTATGCCCGTACCATGCATTTGTTACTCTAGCTCTGTAGTGTAATTTGAAGTCAGGTATTGTGATGCCTCCAGTATGACATTTTTGGCTAAAAATTGCTTCGGCTATTCTGGGTCTTTTATTCTTCAAAGGCATTTTTAAAACTGTTTTTGTTTTTTTTTTTCTTGTTCTGTGATGACTGTCATTGGTATTTTGATGGGGATTGCACTGAATCTGTATATAGCTTTTAGTATTATGTTCATTTTTAATAGCATTACTTCTGCTCATTCATAAATATGGGAAATCTTTCATCTTCTTATATCTTTCAGTTTTTTTCTTAAGTGTTCTATAGTTTGCATTGTAGAGGTATTTCACTTCCTTATTTAGATTTATTTGTAGGGTTTTTTTTTGTGTGTTTTGTTTTTTTGTACCAGGGATTGAACCCAGGGGTGCTTAACCACCCAGCCTCATCCCCAGCCTTTTTTTTTTTTTTAATATATATATTTTATTAGAGGCAGGGTCTTGCTGAGTTGCTCAGGGCCTTGCTAAGTTGCTGAGGCTGGGTTTAAACTTATGATCCTTCTGCCTCAACCTCCTGAGTCACCGGGATTACAGGTGTGCACCACCATGCCCGGCTTATTCATAGGTATTTTATTTATCTATATTTTTGTGGACTTTGAGAATGGGATTGTTTTTCTGATTTCTTTCTCAGCACATCATTATTGATGTATAGGAAAGCTATTAATTTTTGTATGTTGATTTTGTGACTAGCTACTTTGCTGAATTTGTTATTGGTTCTATATTCTTTCTGGAACTTTTTGGATCTTCTAAGTGTAGGATGTTACCATCTGCAAACAGTTATAGTTTGACTTCTTCCTTTTGTATTTTTACCCCTTTTATTTCTTTCTTCTGCCTAATTGCTCTGCCTGGAATTTTTAGTCTATAACGAATAGGAGTGGTATAATGAATATCCTTCTCTTTTTCCAGATTTTGAAGAAAACACTTTAAGTTTCCATATTTTAGCTAAGGGCTTATCAATCTTGTTTATCTTTTCAAAAAACTAACTCTTTATATTATTGATCCTCTGTTTTATTTTTTAATTTCATTTTCAATATTATTCATTTCAGGTCTGATCTGTTATTTCTTCTGTCAGTTTTAGAATTGGTTTGCTCTTGTTTTTCAAGGGCCCTGAGATACATCATTAGGTTGTTTGTTGGAATCTTTCTGATTTTCTTAGGTAGGCACTCATGGCTTTCAGTGTTCCTCTTAGAGCTTCCTTCATAGTGTCCTAGAGGTATTGTATGTTGTGTCCTTACTCTTGTTAGCATCTAAGAATCTTTAAATTTCTCCCTTATTTCTTCTGTCATGCATTCATCATTCAAAGGTGTATTATTTAATCTCCATGTGTTTATATAGTTTCTATAGAGTTTTTGCCAATTTCATTCCATTATGATAAGAGAAGGTGGAAGGGATTATATCAGTTTTTTTGATGTCAAGAATCAAATTTGTGGACTTAATAACCAATTCAATTTTGTGGACTAAAATGTGGTCTGTTTTGGAGAAGGTTCCCTGATTTACTGAGAAGAAAGCATATTCTTTTTTTTTGATACTGGGAATTGAACCCAGAGGTGCTCAACCACTGAGCTATATCCCCAACCCCCCCTTTAAAAAAAAAAAAAAAAAAATATATATATATATATATATATATTTAGTTATACACAGACACAATATCTTTATTTTGTTTATTTATTTTTATGTGGTGCTGAGGATTGAACCCAGGGTCTCACACATGCAAGGTGAATGCTGTACTGCTGAGCCACAACTCAAGCTCCTATCCCCAACCCCTTTTTATATTTTATTTTGAGACAGGATCTTGCCAAGTTGCTGAGGTTGACTTTGAGTTTGCAATCCTCCTGCCTCAGCCTCCTGAGCTGCTGGGATTACAGTTGTGCTCCACCACATCTGGCAGAAGAAAGCATATTCTGATTTTGTTGGATGAAATATCTGTAGATGTCTGTTAATTCCATTTGATATATAATATTTTTTAGGCTTGAAGAGTCTTTGCTGAGTTTATGTGTAAATGACCTATCTATTGATAAGGTGTATTGAAATCATACAGTATTATTGTATTGGGGTCTGAGTTTTTAATTCAAATAGTGTCTGTCTTATGTAATTAGCTGCATCAATGTTTGGGACATAAATATTTACTATTGTTACTTCTTCTTGTTGAATTGTTCCCTTTACCAGTATAAAATGACCTTTGGTCTCTTCTTATTAATTTTGGATTGAAGTCTGTTTCCTCGGATATGAGAGTAGATTCTCCTGCTTTTGTGTGGGGGTTGTAGGCTCCTTTTATATGGAATGTCAATTTCCATCTTTTCACTCTCAGCCTGTGGCTGTCTTTGCCTGTTAGGTGAGTCTCTTCTGCCAGCCTATGTCATTTAATTGGGGAGTTGAGACCATTTACATTCCATGTTATTATAGAGAGATGTTTATTAATTCTTTTCATTTTCATTTATTTCTAATGTTTAGTTTAGTTCTGTTTCTTGTTTGCTTAGCTACCCTTCAAATGAGATGTGTCCATTTGTGAGCTTGGGTTGGTTTTGGTTTCTTCTGTGTGAAGTATTTCTTTAACTATTTTCTGTAGTGCAGACTTAGTGGTCATGAATTCTACTAGTTTCTATTTATCTTGGAAGGCTTTTATCTATGCAATTCTGAGGTATAGCTTTGCTGGATATGGCAGTCTTTGTTGACAGTTATTTTTTTCAGGACTTGGAATACATCATTCTAAGCCCCCCTGGATTTAGAGTCCATGCTGAGAAATTGGAAGTGATTCTGATTGACTTGCCTCTAAATGTGACCTGATGTTTTTCTCTTGAGGCTTTTAAATTTCTGTCCTTGTTCTGTATGTTAGGCATTTTAAAATGGAGAGGTGCTTTTTTGATCTTGTCTACTGGAGTTCTGAATGCATCCTGTATCTGGATCTTTATCTCATTTTCAAGATTTGAAATTTTTTCTGTTTTATCCCTTCAGAGATTCTCCATGCCATTAGCCTGTCTTTCACAACCCTTCATGATTCCAGTGATTCTTTTTTTAATAGACTGTTGACTTTTTTTTTAAGGTAGTAACTTTTTTCTTTTAGTTTTATTCATTTATTTTTATGTGGTGCTGAGGATTGAACGCTGTTCCTCACACATGCTAGGCAAGCCTTGCTTTACCACTGAGCTACAATTGCAGCCCCTCCAGTGATTCTCAAATTTGGTCTCTTAAAGTTGTTCCAGAGTTCTTGTATATTCTGGTCATGGATACTTATTTTCTTTATTTTAACAGTATCTGAATGTTCAAGAATGGCTACTTATTCTGTATGTTAGGCATTTTAAAAATAATGTATCATGTCTTCCAGCTCTGAGATTTAGTCTTCAACATGGTGTATTCTAGAGAGACTTCCACTGAACATTTTATTTGATTATATCTTTCATTTCTAAAACTTCTGTTGGTTCTTTTTCTTTTCTTTCTTTCTTTCTTTTTTTTTTTTTTTGGTACCAGGGATTGAACTCAGGGGCACTTGACCACTGAGCTACACCCCCAGCCCTGTTTTATATTTTATTTAGAGACACTGGTCTCACTGA